TCAAAAAGAAGTAAAGCACATCCTTGGAGTGCTTTACCCCTTCAGTGATGTGGAAGAAAGGCTGGATGGACAGATTCCCAAAACATCTGCAGGCTTTGAAAGACATTGCTACTCAACAGTGATGAAAGAAAAACTGGAGCGACATCAAAGCCTGAGTTGGTGAACTCTGGAGCAACTGTTTTTCACCTAAATAGGACCATAAGAAGTTGATACAGAGCTTTAAATAAACATATTTTTAAATGAGTGGCTTCCAAAATCTTCCTCAGCTATGCAGCCTGGTGATGTGTCTGAGCACAGTTGGGAATAGACCCCAAATCTGGATCTGAACCAGTGCTTGGTCAATATTGCTTGGTTATGTCTCACTTCTCACCTCTTCCTTTACATTCTGTCATGAGAAGGTAATGTCTGGTGTTCATGAGCACAGCTTGACTTCTGATCTCACTCCAGCAAAGAAATTATGCCAATTTTCAGTGTGTAAAACTTGAGATGAAGCAGAGCAAGACAAAACCCTACTGAGTAATGGGCATGTCTAGCAAACATCTGAAGTTTCTGCTCCTATGTAGTTATTTAACACCCAAAACTCTCCACAATTCTTCATTCAGGAGAGGCAGCCAAACAGCGCTGCACATTGCAAATTATTCCAACACAAAGATGTTTTCCAGGTAATTACTGCTATTTAAATTATCCTGCATGTACAGCATGAGTGGCAGATATTAAAATGAAGAGATGACTTAATAAGTTCTAGTTATCCAGATGTGTCATTCTTGTAATAAGATAAAAAAAAAAGTGTGATTATATTTCAGGCTTACCAGGTGTACAGTAAATAAAATTAGTTTATTGTATTTCAAAATCCTTGTAAGCAATATTGCCCCTGCTAGAATTAAGACAAATGACACCAATAAAATAAGCAGATTAGGATATATTGTTTTTTAGATGTTGAATCAGAAGTGTGTGTAACTTGTTGACATGAACATTAAAATCATTGTGAATGGAAAAAATCAACTCCCATTAAAATCTAGTGGAGGGTGTCCCTGCCATGGCAGGGGGGCTGGAACCAGATGATTTTTAAGCTCCCTTCAACCCAAACCATTCTCTGATTCTATGAAAATGAATTATTAAAGAAGCAAAATCACATTGAATGAGAATTGGGCAGCTTTGAGAGAATAGAGAAAAGAATTTCTGGTACCTGAGTTTCTGCTGAGAACGCACAGCAAATATTTTTAAAACAGGGATTTCAGCTGCTATTCAGACACACCACAACTGATCCGCTGATAGACCTCAAGCAAAGTAAAGACTCAGGGTGTAATGGCATTTTAAGACTCCATCTTGCAGCTAGAGGTGAGAATTGATCTTTTTTTATCAGCCATGAACATAAGAAAAATAGGGGATTGCTCCTGCACCTCACAGCTGAGGCTGAAGCTGGGGAATAACTAGACAAGCCGGGTTTATCCCAGTACTATGTGTTTAGATTTGTCTCGTTGCAAGGTCAGGTTTTAACAAACAACAACAATAGACAGGGAGGGGGATTGCACCTTGCAAAACACATTCAGCCAGGCAAGCAGAGCCTGCTAAAATGGGAAATGCAGTCTTGGATGTCTGGACAGGGAAACCCTGAGTGGAGACAATTATTAATGCACCCAGCTCTAAAGCACCGTGTCTGCTCCTGATGTTCCCCACTGCAGAAGAGGCTGAGAAACAGGAAAAGGCTTGGGCTGAAGGTCTTCAGTGGCATGACCTCAAAAACTGGAGGGATCAAATAGTTTGGAAGAAAATAGGGATTGGATCATCCATGTTCAGGAGTTGCAAGCAAACCTGCACTCCTCTTTTGGATGAGATTAAGAAATTGTTCTTTTTAGGCAGCTGAATGGGTTATGCAAGACCTAGTGCCAGGTTGTGGATCTGTTTTAGGGATGGTTTGTTAGAACCATGGAAGGAATCAGATCAGTGTCTCATTCAGCACATACAGGGACATAAATAGTGAGTTTTCTTCTGCTTTCTCTGTCTGTTTGATGCAATCATGAATGTCAGAGCTAAGAATTTTTAATAGTTTCTTTTGGAAAACCTGACTGCTTCTCCCTGTGCTGTGATCCACTCTCTTGAGTGAGATAGAATAATCTTCATATATCCTTACCCAGAAGGATGGTGGACTTGCCATCCATGGAAGTGTCCAGCGCCAGATTGGATGGGGATCAGAACTGGATGATCTTGAAAATTTTTTGCAATCCAAAGCAATCTAGAACCTATGATTCCAAACCATATATAATCTATGATTGTATACATTAAATAGCAGTATCATTTCCATTTAATGCACTGGTTTAGAATATATATAAATACACACACACACACAGATATATATATCTACACATATATATATGTGTAGATATATATATATGTATGCAAATGATATTTTCACAAGAATTTTTTTATCTGAGAAAGTTAAGTTGCTCGAATATCAACTATTTTACTCAGGGAAAAAATAAGCAATTTTCCCCCCAATTTTCTGCAACACCATATTTGGATTTTATTCAAGATTTTTAGGATGGCTTGTGTTCCCATCTTTTCCAGAGCTTTCAGTTGGCAGTTTGGGTTTTAGGCTCCTCAGAGAGCTTCAGACATGCTTGAAAAATATTTAAAGGAAATCCCTTCACAACTTCCTCTAAACTGAGTGTGAGAGCTCCCATTCCACAGGAGATTAGAGCTTCATTCTATCTCATAATAATTATCTCTAAAAAGAAAACAGAGGGGATTTTTCAGTGGAATTCCCAGGGAGTTCCAGTTTTGAGCCAAATCTATAGATAGACTCAGTTTATTCTGTGATCAGAAATAAACTGTGAATCTTTCTAGCCAGTATGGAGAATCCCTCAAGACTCTGACTTCATACAGGAGTCCACAGAAAGTTAAATCCTTGGCAAAAATCCCACCCTTATTCCAAAAATATTTGTGAATCCGCCCCTTTCTAGATCCCAGCTTTATCAGGAGGGCAGAGCAGATCTGGCTGACAAAAAAGTGTGTTAGTGTGAACACAACTTTGTTCCATTTTCAGTGCATTTCTTGGTTTAACAAAGGTTATTGCCTCCACATGTAACTTACACCTTGCCTGCAACAAGGATGGCAGTACTGGGATGCCCCATTTGGGCAGGGAAGTGGCTGGATGTGAAACTGGGACTACAAGATTTGGAGAAGAAAGAAGTCAAACTGAGCAGTGCTATCTGCTTCCCAAACTTAGCAAGAAAGAGAATAGAAGCTTAAATTGTTAAGACTGAAAAGAACTCTGAGATCATCGAGTCCAACCACTGTGCTCCTAAACCCTCAAGACTTTACGATTTAAGGCTTTAAACTTAAGGAGGGTAGATTTAGGTTAGATATTATGAAGAAATGTCTCACTGTGAGGGTGGTGAGAGACTGGAACAGGTTGCCCAGTGATGCTCTGGACTCCCACTCCCTAGAAGTGTTCAAGGTCAGTTTTGATGAGGATTGGAACAACCTAGTCTAGTGTAATGTGTCCCTAACCTTGGCATAGGGGTTGTAACAAGGTGATGTTGAAGGTCCTTCCAACCCAAACCATTCTATGTTCCTATGATTTTATGAATTAAAAACACCACTAATAAGCTCATGAACCATAACACTTCTGTTCAGAGAGCTTTCTAGGTTGCTGGAGGTGGCTCTTCCACACAACCAGACTGTGTGGTGGAGGGAATAGAGCATGAGCTCTTTCTGCCTGTATAAAGTGGGGGAAAAAAATTCTCCTCGGAAAACATCGTAGACCAGCACTGTATGTGAGCTTTGAAGCCCATCTCAGGAGATGTAGACCCAAAATTATGTGAAGTATCGTGCTGGTGTGGCTCCATGCTGCTATTCTCCATGTTGCCTGTGTGTGGTATGAAAGTCTCCTCCTGTGTGCAGGCATTTCCTGGGACGGTTCAATTCACAGAATCACAGAATAAATAAATGGTTTGGTTGGAAGGGACCTTAAAGAAAAACTCATTTCATCCCCCCTGACATAAGCAGGGACACCTTCCACTAGACCAGTTTGTTCAAAGCCCCATCCAGCCTGGACCTGAACAGTGCCAGGGAGGGGAAGTCCACAACTTCAAATTCCTCTGAGTATCCTCAAGCCCTCAGTACTAAAATTATCACCCTCAATGCCTTCTGATTCTCAGCCCTTCTCAGAGGGCCTCCAGCCCATTTGTTGCCTCCTAGGGAGCTTGTTTGCCTCTCTACCTCAGGCAACAACAACTTCTGCTCTCAGGGAAGCCTCACGCCAGCTCTCAGGTTTCTTTGAAAAGGCGTTGGTAGGGGAAAACCAAACTAATCAACAGGGCCTCAGACCACCTCCACAAGAACCCCACCTGACTGCTTCTCCCTGTGCTGTGATCCACATTAAAAAGTCATGGAATCTTAGAATCAAACCATTCTTTATTCCACGCAGGCAGCGGGCCTGAGTCACGCGGCCAGGCCTGTCACGAGCGGCAGAGCCGGCATGGGATGCAGAGGCACAAACCATCCCTCTGTACTGTATGATAATCAACAAAAATTAGCTGCCTAAGGGAACCAGGAAACTCTGCCATGAATGCAGCATTTAGAGACTGAGCCTATTTATTTAACAGGTGTCCCCTGAGCTGGGATGCCAGGCTCTGTTTGCCAAATTTGCGGAGAGAGGAAGACAGCTTGAATAAATACGGGCAAGAGGAGAACAGTCCTGAAGCCATTTTCTTTGTGGATTGTTGTGTTGTTCTGTTGTTTTGTTTTTTTTTTTTCCCTCAGCAACTTTTTATTGTAAGAAAGTCTATCCTGGTTCTTGGCTGGGAGTATTAGACAGCAGGAGCTATGCCAAAATCCAGTTTCTCTCCTCATAGTGGTGCAGAGTCCAGCTCAGCCACAAAACAAGTTATCTCTGCTGGATGGCTTTGTGATTGGTTTTTTTGTTCAGTTTAATTAAAATACAGTATGGGGTACATTTTGGATGAGAACCCATCCCAGGCTGTCAGGGACCAAAAGCCAACAACAGCTGTGCTGAAATGATCTCCTTCCCCATTCCTGTGCAGTGGAAACACAAGTTTCTGTGTCTGGTGCTGCAGCATCGAGAAGCCTTGGATTGTATCCGATGTCACAGCACGAAACATTCCACACAGAGCATCTGGGTGGTCCTCGTTCAATTTTTGGAGTCTTTTCACACAGTCTGGAGGAAAGGGATAGAAAAGGACATAGAGGAACTGCTTTAGGTATTAATTCCAGTACAAACCCAAGCAGCTCATAAATGGGTTTTCACAGAAGACACAGAATCACAGAATGGGTCAGGCTGGAAGGTACCACAGTGGGGTTGTTTGGCTCAACCTCTGCTCAAGCAGGGTCATCCCAAGGCACAGGGCACAGGATTGTGTCTCCAGATAGTTCTGGAATGTCTCCACACCCTCTCTGGGATCTGCTCAGTGCTTGGTCACTGCATAGGGAAGAAGTTCTGCCCCTTGACCAGGTGGAAGTTCCTGGGCATCAGCTCCTGCTCATTCCTCTTTTCCCATTGCTGGGCCCCATGGAACAGAGCTTGCTCAATTCTCTGACCCTTCCCTGTAGATATTTTAGGTATTGATGAGTTCTTCTCTCAGCTGTCTTTTCTCAGGGCTGAACAGGCCCCACTTTCTCAGTCTGCACTCAGCAGAGAGACGCTCCAGTCTTTTGGGGATGCTCAGAACCCATCTGAATCCTGATCCCCCTTCTGGCATGTTTTCTCAGGGAACTCTTTTTCCATATATTTCCCGTTGCCTTTCAGCCATGCCAGAAAGCCAATGCAAGACAGAGGAATCATGGAGAGGGGCCTGCAGCAGCACTGCCTGACAACACATGATGAAGGCAGCGAGTAGAGTAAACAATCTGCTCATCTGGCGAAAAATGCACAGAGAACATCCCAGACAACCACACCAAAAACTCTATAAGCAGCATGGGGGGAAAAAAAACTTTGCCCAACCAGATGATTTGCTTGAGAAAGGGAAAGTTTCCAGACACTGTAGAAATTTTTACTGCCTGCTCCTTACAAGCTGTAGCAAATATTTGCCAGCTGCGCTGAGAAATAATCTGATAAATAAACAAGATTACATTCTTTTCACTTAGTTTTTTGTGTACAAGGCATTGCCCCAGCAATATCAGCTACATAAAGCACACAGATCTGGTCACAGCCATCTCCAAGCCATTCCTTGCTCATTTCAGTCATGAACAGGGCTGACATTGACATCTTACACAGCCAGGGCAGACATCTGGGAGATGTTCATCCTCATGACAGAGATGTGAAGGTCCTGCTCATTCTTTCATCCTCCAGCAGCTGTGAGCTGAATGGGGACCAGTGTGAGCCAAAATCTGCCTCAGGGGTCACTCGGTGGTGGCTGCAGTGGTCAGCATGTGACAGAGGGCAGCTCACTCCAACACTGCACCACAAACATTTGTGCCACCAGGTGACCCATAGCAAAGGGGGATTGAAAGATATTTTCCATGGCATGAAATGAGGTAAGAGCAGATTTTGTCTTTCAGCTTTGATGGGGACACAAGCTTGAAGGACAGGGCTGGATCCCCTCTCTAGAGAGTTTGGAAGAGCCCAGTTCTGCTCTTCAGGGGCTGAGTTCATCCACACAACCATTCCCATGCTGTGTTGCTCTGAGCAACCTCTGCCACCACCTCTGTGGCGGAACCTTCTCCTCTCTAATCCCCCAAAACAGCTCCTCATGGGTTACCATGAAATCTTTGCCCACCCTGTTCTGGAAAGACAGAAGCCAGGAGGGGGAAACTGCACCCTGTGCTCCTGCAAGCTGTGATTTAAAAAAAAAATTATTTGTGCTGCCTCTCCAATTTCTACCCTAAAAACCCAGCAAAGCCTGAATTCTTCTTGAACCCTACTGCAGGGAAGAGAAATGAAGATATCTCCATAGGAATAGAAAGCTAAAATAGCTGTGCTTCATAGACCTGGCTGGAATGACATTGCCAGTCCCAATCCAAAATCTAGTAAAGGGCTCTGTAATTAATTCAAGACACCCAAAGTGTTTTCACACAAATTATCAAGCCTACGGGAGAGGTTTGTGACAGCATTACAAATTCATAGGTCTGGGAGAGAACTCAAGAGGTTGCATAGTTTATTTTCCTGTCCCAAAGCAAGACACAGTATTTCTAGGTCACTGTTGATGGATCTTTGTTTAAACTGTTCTTTTTTTTTAAAGGCTTCCCATGATGGAGATGTTGCAGGCAATTAATCTCAGCATTTTGCAGTTCTGACCATTGGAAAATCACACCTGATACCACAGAATCACAAAATTATTTAGATTGGAAAAGATCTCTGAGACTGAGCCCAACTTTTGACCCATCCCCACCTTGTCACCCAGCCCAGAGCTCTGAGTGCCATGTCTATTTGTCCCTTAGACACCTCCAGGGATGAGGACTCCACAACCTCCCTGGGCAGCCCCTTTCAATGCTTAACAACTCTTTCCATGAAGAAATTCTTCTTAATGTCCAACCTGAACCTCCCCTGTCCCAGTTTGAAGCTGTTTCCTCTGTCCTGCCCTTTTTTCCCTGGAAGCAGAGCCTGATCCCCCACCCCAGTGTTCTCCTCCTGTCAGGGAGTTCTGCAGAGCCAGAAGGTCCCACCTGAGCCTCTTTTTCTCCAGGTTGAGCCCCTCCACTTCCCTCAGCTGCTCAAACAACCCAACACAGCCCAAAGCAGCTTCAACTTTTCCCCTGGATGTCTTCTCCCATGATAAAACAACCCTCCACATATTTGAACAGCCCTACCACATTCTGCTCAGCCCTCTGAAGGAGATAATTATTTCAATATTCCCCACAGGTAATTTTCCCCTGTTGGCTACTCTTTTGGTTCCCATTAGGTATTCCTGAAGTAGGACAAATCTTTCTGGAAATGGAGTGCCCCACTTTACATAATCTCCTCCAAGTGAGGGGTTCCCAGGGGTGAGCAGAGCATCTCTGGATGGTTACACAGACTAGAACTGTGTTTATCTTTCTCATGGAAGCCCAATGTGTTGATCTGGGGGCAGGCTGTGATTCATTACAGCTTCCAGGTGTGGGTTTATTTCTTCTTTTTTTTTTTTTTTTTTTTCCTAAGAGCTGATGTCTGATCAGTTGTTCCCAGCCCTGAAATTAATTAGGAAATTACTGAAGTCAAAATTCCTGACTAAGCCCATGCTGGAATGAAACCAGGCTATAGGGTGAGTGTAGGAACATTTGTTTCCTTGCTGTAAATTTTACCATCATGGTCAAGACCTGAATCTTCCTTGCCCAGTCACAGATCTAGTGATAATAGAACTTTGGGGGAAAGTAAGAGAGGGAATAAAGGGAATTTCATCTTTCCTCAGTAGTTTTGCCAGATTATTCTCAATTAGTGACATTGTTTAACCCCAGCCAGTAATGAAACCCCACAGGGCTGCTTATTTACTCCTCTCCAGTGGGAAGGGGTAGAGAATTGGAAAGGAAAAAGTGAGAAAACTTGTGGGTTGGGACAAAGTTTAAAAGTTCAAGCAAAAACCACACTCATGCACGCAGAACAAGAGAAGGAATTCATTCTTCACTTCCCGTGGCCAGACAAGAGTTCAGCCATGGTCAGGAGAGCAGGGCTCTGCACAAATCTAAACCATAGCCCCACATCAGCTACTAAGAAGAAAATTAAATTAACAACCTAAAGCAACACCTTCTCCACCCATTGTTCCATAGCATTTACAGCCTGCTCAGGTCCAACATTATCCAAACATTGTGTTACCCTCCACACCCATTCCCATCATTTCATATAATACATAGATGTCATTCCTCCAATCTATGGAACAATCCTGTAAAATGTTCATAAAATGCCCATAAACTGTCCACAAATGTCCACTGAGTTCACTTAGTCCATGACTTTGGGGTTCACCTGTGATGATGGTCACTCAGGGAAGGAAAGTGGTGTGTGGTGTGGAGTTTTTGGGCCCCAAACCCAGTTCATTGCTGTACTTGCTGCTTATAAAGCTTGTCCACTGATATGGGTTGTTCCTGCCAGAATAATTCCTAAAAACATGCAGCCCAAAGCACAGGTCACAACAATTTTAAGGTGTTTCCATTACAATCTCTGCCCCTGGTCCCCTTAAGTCAAGTTACAGGGTTTAGTATTAAAATGAGCTCCTGCCTGTGCTCTTAACCCTGCTTGGATTTATTCACAGGCTGCAGTTTTCAGGAATGTACCTGCTCCAGCTGGAGCCTTATCAATCAGCTATAATCTCTCCATGGTATAGATTTATCCACAGCCACAATCCCTTTGGACAAAAACCTGATCCAGCACAGGCTGAGTTCCATCCAGAGATACACCTGCTCCATCATGGGCTTATCCATGGCCACAAGCTTTGAGATGCTCCAGTGTGACCCCATGTACAGCCACTGATGCTTTGGGACATTCCTTCTTCAGCCTGGACTGATTTTTGGCCACAATTCTTTCAGAGACAAAACCCCTGTCTTGGATCCTTCAAGAAGAACCTGCTCTGGCGTGGCACAATCACAGCCACAGATGTTTCAGAGTCTCCTTTTCTCTCATAGACTCATCCACAGGTCATGTTTCCTTTGACTTGAATTCACTCTGGCAGTCCAGAGTGTCCAGTGAAGCAGCACAGGAACAGCAGTGACTCCCTGGCCATCTGCCAGGGTAGGAACATCCCTGCTGCTGTTATCAGAGCATTCCCAGGCAAGGAGCAGAGCAGTGCAAGGAAAGAGCAGCCACTAACAAGCACTGGGCTCAAACAGACACTCAGGCAAAAACAGGGGCTGCCAATTAACAGCTGAACAGTAATAACAGCCATAAATTCAGTCCAGCACATCCCAGTCAAACCTGGTGCTGTCTTGAACCCTTCCTTAGGGGCCACCAGCCACTCACTCATTCTGCCCTGGTAGGAGAAGGCATCAGAAGGGTAAAAGTGAGAAAAAGAAAGGGCTGTGAAAAAAAGACAGTTTAATAGAGAAAGCAAAAGCCATGCACATGAGGAAAGGAAAACAAGGAATTAATTCCCTGCTTTCCATGGGCAGGCAGGTGTTCAGCCATCCCCAGGAAATCTGGTCTCCAGAACACGCAGCAGTAACTTGGGAAGGCAAGCTCTATCACTCTGAATGCCCTCCTTTGCCTGTTTTTCTCCCCTTTATATTCTGAGCATGATGTCACAGGGTCTGGAATCTCCCTTGGGTCATTTGTGGTCAGCTGTCCTGGCTGTGTCCCCTCCCAAACACTTATGGACCCCACTGGTCATGGTGTGGTAAGGAAGAGAAAAGGCTGTGTAAGAATTGCTCAGCAATATCTAAAAACCTCTATATTATCAACACAGTTTGCATCACAAATCCAAACCATAAGCCCATGAGTGCTACTATGAAAAAAATTAAGTTTATCTCAGCATAGTTTTGTCTTTAGTTGCTATCCCTGAGACTTTTCACTCCTGATTTTTCTAAACCCTTCCCAAAAAACATTGTGCTTTTAACTCCCATGACAAGCTCCAAGATATGTGCAAATGAAGTTCTTTTTGTTTGCATTAAACCTGCTATCTGATCACTTCATTAGTGTCCCTGGGTTGCCATGACATGAGGAATAATGAATAACTTTTCCTTACTCAGCCTTTTCGTGCTCGTCATCACTTTGTAGATGTCTACTGGTGCACAGAATGACTCTCAGCTGCAGTGAGAATTACTGTTTAGCCATTCCTCCTATTAAAACCACTCCACTTCTCTGATCATCCTCCTTTCTACCTTTTCTAACTCTACCACATGCTTTTTTATATGGCATGAATGGAAGTCCACACAGCTCCCAAGATTTCGGTTCACCAGGGATTTATGTACACACACACACTTTTAAACAGGAGCTCTCTTTTCCATCTGTTTCTTAGTAAATTCTACTATTTTATTCATGTATTTTGCTTGTGCTGACGACTGAGATGACACATAAAAGCATTATCTGCAGTGACTTCAAGATCTCTTTCCTGAGGGGTCAGTGCTAATTTAGAGAAGATTATTGTGGATGCAGTTATCACCTTTTCATTTCCCTCCTGGCTGCTCCTTGGCATTAGCTCAGGCTCAGAGGGGTCGTAGTAATATTCTGAGTC